TTCAAATATATTTAAAAATATTGGATCTTTACTAAAAGATCCTTGGATTCTTGTTTTTCTCGTCTGGTGCATAATTTTGGGAATGTGTGTCGGTGTTCAATGGACATTTTTATTTTGGTAATAGAAACTTGAAGAATTCATTTTTTTTTTTTTTTTTTTTTTTTCTCCATTACTTAATTAAAATGGAAATTTTTCTATTTAGGCATGTAGAAAATTTAAGTGGAACTTGCGAGTATGAATCAAGTAAAAAAACCATTCTCGGTTTGGCTAGTGGAGTGCAATGTTTTCTAGGAGAGTTGCCTTCGTTTTTCTTGTTTGGTTGGATTCTAAAGAAACTAGGTCATGTAAATATAATGACTCTCGTACCATTTGTAATAGGAATTCGATTTTTTATGTATTCAATTTTACCAAATCCTTGGTGGGTGTTACCCATAGAAGTTTTACAGTGCTCTGTAGGTCTTGGATTTGCTACAATGGCTTCATATGCCAGTACCATCGCACCTCCAGGAGCAGAAGCCACTGTGCAGGGATTAGTAGGTGCAATTTTCGAAGGAATAGGTATATTTATTTTACCATTTCTCATACTTTATCTCTCTCTCTTTTATTTTAACATTAACCTTTTTTTTATTTACCTTTTACCCAGGTGTGTCATTAGGTAGTTATTTTGGTGGACTTTTATTCAAAGACAATAATGGATCAGGATTATTTCAAATATTTGGATGCATTGCATTTGCATTAAGCATTACCCACGGTTCTGTTCACTACCTTTTAGGAAAAAATAAAAAATTATTAAATCAGACAAAAGGTAAGAGAATATTTTTTTTTTTAAAAATTCAAAATAATAAATTGTACATAATTTTTAAACATTTAGTTTGTGAGAGAGAGAGAGAGAGAGACTGATTTCGAATCAAATTTTTTTTAAATAAGTAAAAATATGTATTAAGCTTTTAGCACTTAAAAAATTGGTAGTTTATTAGTATGCTAGTTTCTTACTAATAGTATTTTAAATTTTACAGTTGATTTTTTTTTTTTTTTACGACACAACTAACTCTGGTAACAAAACATGTATACATATACATACATACTATTACACGACATTTTACAATAAATTTTAAAGTCTGGCAAAACAAATTTCTGACATTTTTTTTTTATTTATTTTATACATTTTTTAATTTTTGTCGAATTGTGTTTGTATTGCGTTTTTGTAAGTTTTCTTTACACTAAAACTTATACACATTTCATAATTTTCTTCGATGTCTATCAAAGGATCCCCAAATAAAATCTCTTTATTAAACGATATAATGTTTAATTGTGATTGAAAAATTTATTTTTTTAAATAAATCTTGAAAAAAAGGGTATTTTTATAATTATGAAGATAGATACAATTAAAAAGTTGTCTGAAGAGAAAAACTCAAATTTTTTCAGAATCAACCGGCGGTGAAGGATAAACAAGTTAATCCTCAGTGGGACCTGACTATTGAGTAAGCGTGAAGTCAGTATAACATAACAATATCGTTTTTTTTGTGCGTTTGCATATAAATGTAATGCATGTGTAAATGTATGAGAAACCAAAAACCGGAAATGAATGTGCATGAAAAAAAAAGAAAATGGAAAATGCAAACGCATTTATTATAAAAAAAACGAAAGAATATTTTTGTGCTTGGTCCTGTCTTTAGATAAGCTTATTCGTGAATTGTCCGGATGAGTTACATAAAGCTTTTTGTCTTTTAAAATCGTTTAAAAAAACTATTCAAAAGATTTTATTATTATTATTATTATCATAGTTCTTCACAAAAAAAAAATTGAAATGATTAATAATTTTTAAAAAAAATGTCGTAGATAAAGTTAACTACTTAATCTGTATAACGATACCTTATTTAAAAATTCCTCTTGTATTATAAAAAAATTATTATTATTATTATTTTTTCGGAAAATCCTGTAGAATAATCGGGGCCTGTTGGTGTTGGTTAACGCTGTAGTATTGTAAATATTACCTGTATATACTTGAAACAAAAAAAAAAAAAATTAAAATACTTTCACACTTAAAACTATAAATAAAAAAAAATTCTACTTAATATAATAATAATAATACATTAATACACAAAATATAATTAATTTGTATGTTTATTTAAATTCCTATTAGAAGTAAAATGTCTATCAACTACCAATATTACTTTATTTATTTTATTTAAAAAAAAAATAATAATAATAATAATTTTTCAGGTTTCAATGGAGTAGCCAAATATGCAATACCAAACGATGCTGTTTCCATGTTGGAAGATACGTAAAACACACACAATCCAAGAAAAATTTAAAATCATAAGTACCCAGTATTTATTTTTTTTTTTAGATAAATTAACAATTAAAGCCAAAGTATCCAAAATAATAATAATAATAATAATTAATTTACTATTTTTATTGTTGTTATTTAAATAGTAGAAAAAATTAAAAAAGGAAGAAAATTGAGAGGGGGGGGGGGGAAATGTTTTGATTCTACATCATCAATTTTTTTTTTTTTTTTTTTGTAAATTTATTTCTTTTTATTTACTTAATTTTTTTTTTATATTTTATTTATTTATTATTATTATTATATTATCTTGTTATTTTATATATACATATATTTAAATTTAAAATAATCATCGTATGCATATCATGAATTAATAACAATATTTATTATTATTATTATTATTAATACTGTAAAAATAATTAATAATTTATTTATTTAACTAAGACATTTTATTTCATTCCAATTTAAACCAGGTATATATATATATATATATATATATATATATTAATTTTAAATAATAATTAATCGATCGAATCGAAATCAATAATAATAAATAAAATCAATTAAATTGAATTTTTTTTTTTATTTGTTTAAAATTTTGTTTTGTTACTTAATCACAATCGGTGGAGAGGAGGAGAAAAATTTTCCTTTGTCGAGGGGAAAAATTTTCCTTTGTTTTGAAGGAAAAATAAAATTAAAAATAATTGAAATAATCAAATAAATGATCGTTTGTCGTACTTTTTTTTTTTTATTTTTAATAAATTCACAAAATCGTACTATATACATAAATAATTATTTATTTATATTTTATTTAATTGATAATAATAATATGCGTGCAATAATTACAAAATTTTTTTTTTTTAAAATAAAACTTACAAGGCAGCTTTAACATTGAAATGTTAATGTATACATAATTATTATTATTATTTTTCCTATAAAATAGAATGCATTTCATTAAATAAATAAATTAAGTAAATAATGTAAAGAAATAATTAAAAAAAAAATTTTAATCAATAAATAAATAATTTGCTCAAAATTATTAAAATAAAATTTAACTTTTTCAATTTTTTTTTTATTACTTTTCATTGATTTGATCTTTGGTATAAAAAAAAAAAATTAATTAAATAAATTAAATTAAATTAATTTAAAAAAAAAAAACAAAAAACAACTTAATTTTTAAATTTCTATATTTTTTTATTATTATTATTATTATTTTTCTCTTATGACTTATATTTGAATAAAACTTAAT